ACACAGAACAGCGGGAAATGCTTCAGTTCCCACAACGAAAGTGCACATGAAGTGTGGGAAAAATGGCCTACATTTCACTAAATTGCGAGGGGTTGTTTTGTACCAGAGTGTGTGTGAAGTACAGCCCCACCCTGAAATAACTGAAAGTCTGCGTGTTGAATTCAGGTCTTGCCACCAGGAGACGCACTGATGCTCTCTTTATCATACAGTACAGCGTGTCAGTGTGATAAGCCAGACTTTAAACACTGCACTATTGTCACACACAAAACAAATATAATACATTTGTAGTAAAGAAAATCTCCTTTTAAAAAAAAAGGCCGCATGCGCAGTGGAACAATGGTACAGCTTACTTTATTGTTACAGATTTTAGGTCAGATGTAATTAGATCAATGGTGGTATAATAAGTTCTCATTCTTTCTGTGTAAAAGAGGCATGTGAAAATATCACATATGAAACACTTTTTATATGTTCATCATATGTGGAACGTCATTATTACATGTAATGCATTCAAATTGCACACATGCGATTAAGGAAATATGCCACATGATATTCATATGACTTCACATGTTAGACGTAATTCTGTATATATAGCAGGTAAAAAAAACTTAGTAGGCTGCTAGTTGCTAAAAGCACAGTCTTATTATTGTTGAATACAATGTTGTGCATGTTCACACTTAACCAGAGCTCAAAGTTCAGTTCATACCAATTAAAACAAACTAGTTCATGATCATAGTTCACAATTAGGATTTTGAACGAAGTTAAAAAAAAAAAGTACTGTTTTACATTCATGTCTTCTGTTTTTCAAAATAAAATAAAATCATCATTCACTCGTCCATATTTCCCAACATTGGTCGGATGTTTAAATTTCTTTGCCAATGACTCTCAGACTTGTTTTCGCAGACCTGGCGGGCAGAATTTGCACACAATTATGGGATTTTTTTATCTACATGAAGTGGCCAGCCTGTTCCCACTCCCAGGTGGTCAAATACCAATGCGTCGTAATGCTTCTTTAGCCAATGCGTATGTGCCATGCATCTGAACCAGTGTTTAATTGAATTGAAATTGAATTTATTTTTTAATAATTTATAATTTGATATGGCCAATGCAATTTAACAAAGTTCTAATATAAAGCATCAAACCGAGAGTTCAGAGCTACTGCTGTTGGTTGTGGATATGTTTACCTTTGCACTAGTAAAAAGACAGTCACGTTCTTGGTGAAAACCATCCATCCATACCTCATCCTCTTTTACAGTTCAGTCATGTCAATACTGTGCGGCTAATTGCTGTAATGATTATTAGCACTGAGAGTCATACACTACACAAATATTCACATTCTATGACACAACAGCTATTGTATATGATGGTGAGTTTCCAGGATTTAAAGGCCACCAACAAGAGATTTGATTCTTGTTAAGCAAGATGACAGATGTGGTTGTGTTGCTCCCATCTCTCATAGGTATTACACTGGGGAGAAATCTGCATATACTGCACACACGAGAAGAAAATGTAAACCTGGGAATAGTGAAATTGTGTGTAAAATGACTCATAAGATAATGATCTTGCTGAAAGAATCCGTGAAAAACAAAGAAAAAATAAATCTAACACTAGTACTTTGTCAAGAAAAGACAACAGAGGGCCATTTTCAGCATTTTGCAATCTACTTGTTTTGGTGTTCGAAAAAGCAAAGCTTATCAAAAGCAATGTTCAGATAAGAATGCAACATGTTTTTCTGCTATTGCTGTTTGGATCATTTCTGACCTTTAAACGCCTGCATTACTTGGAATCTAATTATATAAGCCTGAAACAAATATACAAATAATATTGCAAGTATTTAATTGAATGGCTGCTAAATCACAGGCTGCAAAATGGCTCCACCTTAGAAACAGTCAGTTTTGTTGGCTTTATCTGAAAGCATATGTTTGGGAGGCTGGACAGGATCATTTGCAGTACAGGAACAGATTTACCAACAGCTTCTTCCTACCAAATAATCTGCATGTGTAGCAAGTGACAGCACATACCGTCTATTTACCATCTGTGGTGCTCAAGTTGGCATCAGAGAGCTGAAGGCAGCAGATTAGAGTAACTGTAAGAAAAGACTTTTACTTCAGTACTGTATATGTTCAAAAAACAATGGGAGCTTTTTAAGCTTCTACTGAATGCATCAGAAGTTGAGCTGTATGCAAAACTTTTCATGACTCCTAAATTTAAGACCTCAAAGTGGGACTATATTGTGTGATTGCACATTCTTTATCATATCATCAGGCATATTACATCTTGTACTTTTTTTAATCACACTTACTCTCCCCGATAGTGAACACATATATTCATATTATGAATAGTATGTCCATACAAATATTAGGAAAATACAGATGATTTGGCAACATGTGTGGTCACCTTGGTAACAGCAAGTGTTGTTTAATACTGCAGCAAACACTGGTTGAGCTGTTACTTTGTCAGGTATAGCACAAAAGAGCAACTTCCGACCAAGGGGCCAGATTAGATAATATGGAAATACCTGGGGGGCAGCTGCTTCTCACATTAAATGAGTGATTAATTAAAAAAAAAAAAAATAAATAAATAAACTTTTTCATCTTTCAATGAAAAAGCAGTAGATTTTACATGTCTTTGCCATGGGGCTGGGTAATATCAAGAATCTGGTGATACAATACGTATCACAATATGGTGGTTACGATTGAACATATTGTAGTATATTGCAATACTGTAAGCAAGGCAATGCATTGTAGGTTATTAAAATCTAATTTTAGAAAAGCTATTATACAGAACACTCAACCATATGCATACAATTTGAGTTCAAAAAAGTTCACTTTTTGCATCCAGAGCAATAAGATCTGTATTTATCACAGAGTGGGTGAGTCAATGGCTAATGATAGATTAGTGCTGCTCTCCCTAGCAGAAAATGTCTGCTGTTAGGTAACTGTACCGTCTGTTTGTGGAAACACATTAGTCCAACCTGTGTAGTTCCTACAGGGAGCATGTCTACAAACTGTATGATAGTCCTGCCATGATGAGGTGAATAGAAAAATGCAAGGTGATCTTGTTTGATTAATATATATATATATATATTGTGTGGTGGGCCACATATAGTATATTGAACAACCAGACTATGAACATGCCTGGTTTAGTGAGAGCGAATAGTAAACAGTAAGGCTTATATCAATGGGATAAAACTGTGCATGCATGTATTGTGTCTGTGAATACGTTATAGTTAGGTTGGCAATTTGAATATGCGTAGGAATGGCACCACTGCCATTAAGAAAACTATGATGAGAGCTAATTACTTAATATAATAATCACTAAATCAATAAATATTTTTTTCCTTTAAAGGGTCTCCTTCTTTTGAAATTCACAGAATATGTGTTATGTGATAAAAAAGACAGAGATTTAACTTCGGCAGTCTCTGGCAGTTGAATAAAGTGTGGTTGATATGAGTAATGAGGTGTCCTTTCACATCTTCTGTTCTTCTGAGCTGTATTAGCACAGGGGACCTGAGAGCATTGCTATTGGTGAGAGACCAGACAGCCAGCATCTGTCTCTCTCACTCCTCCACTTAAACACATCCCCCCACATACACGTTCACACACTCTTACACATGCTCACACAGCAGTCCAGACATCTGGTGGGGCTCTACTGGGTCTTGCCACTGTGGTACTGGGACTCTTACAAGGACTAAAGATACTTCAGCGGTAATGACACGTCCCTATTGGCCAGACCGGGCAGAAAAACAGGAAGTGGGGACAAGACTGAGGGTCAGAGAGGTCGTTCATCTTGGGAGGGTGATTTAAATACAGTAGAAGAGAGTCACAGAGATACAGAGAGATATAACGTCCCCTGCCTGAGGCCAAGGTAGACAATGTGAGTAAATTTCAGGTATTCACCAGATTCCAAAGGGTAGAGGGGTTTCAACTATGAATTCAACATGGTAATTGTAATATGTCTATTAATATATGTTATATTTTTGTTAACTGTATGACACCCAGTTTCAACCAGTATTATTATACTGTATGTGCTAAATCAATAAATACAGTTTTTGTGCAATAACATCAGGAAAATATGGAAGCCAAGCACAGCCATGCTTCCAGTTACGTTTTTAAAGCTGTCTCAAGATCCTGAGTTAATTATCTTGACAACTCAAGAAAACAAGCTTGTCATCTTGTGATCACGAGTTAATTATTTTGTTTTACTTGAGAAAACAAGCCTTTTTTTTTAAAATCCTTTGATAATGTCATAATCAACCCGTTATCACGAAAACACAAAAGGTTGTTTTATTTTATCTCCAGACAGTGAGCTTTGCTATCTCGACATAATGAGATAATTGCATGAAGGTTTCCTCTCATTAGGGTACTTATAGTGAAATGACAAAGCTTGTCTTCTCAAGTTAACTATTCAATTAAATAATGCAAAAAAAAGCCCTTTTGTTTTCTCATGATAACGGCTTATAACAAAACAATGAAAAAAAAAAAATTCTCAGACATATTACTAGATTACTGCAGGGTCACAGTAGTAATAATGGGGCGGTTGTGACTCAGGGGTAGAGCAGGTCATCCACTCATCAGAAGATTGGTGGCTCAATCCCCGGCTCCCCTAATCCAAGTATCCTTAGGCAAGATACTGAACCCTAAGTTGCTCCTAATGGCTGTATCATTGGTGTGTGAGCATGAGTGAACAGTTACTGAATAACAGGTGGAATCACGTACGTTAGCCTCGACCACCAGTGTGTGTAAAAGTGCTTTAAATGGTCAGATGACTAGAACGGCGCTATACAAGTGCAGTCCATGCACCATTTACTAAAATAAAGCATAAAGCAAAAACAAACAAACAAACAACTGCATAGTTGTTTTTGATTATAAATTATCATAGCTCTCCACTTTACTGTAGTATTAAGAATGACCTGTATAGCCCAAACTGACATTTTTACCTGTCCTCTCAAATTTGAATATGTAGGTAGAAATGGATTTTACAAAGGAAAATAATATACTCACTGGTGGCAGGGTTTCCGCCAGGGTTGAGAGTTACTCTGAAGGCTTGATGCCAGGTGTGGCGGCCAGGGGGAGCATCACACGGGTCAATGTAAAGCAGAACACCTCCAAAACCCAGCTCAGACAGTAGGGATAGCTGGACACACATAATACATATAAAGGCACAGTGAGCATCATTTGACACTTACAGTGCTTTAATGTGAACAGGAAATAGACAGGAAATGGTTAAATGCATTTCCACTTGAGGACACGTTGGTTGTTTTCAAACAAGCTGAAAAAACAACACTGACATATTATCACATATACTGTACAGTTGGTAAGACATACCTGTTAGCAGAAAACTGCCAATTTACCCATACAGTATATTTCCAACACATCCTGAGGAAAATATTTGGTTCCTTAATGGTTACAGTAAATGCTTTACTATGTTCACCACCTAGTTGCTAACTGTGTTTGTCCATCTCATTTGGTGCTGGGCAGGTAGAGGGCAGTCAGTTTTATCATAGACATTTTGCTGCTGGAAACAATCAATCAATCAATCAATCAATTTTATTTATAAAGCCCAATATCACAAATCACAATTTGCCTCACAGGGCTTTACAGCATACGACATCCCTCTGTCCTTATGACCCTCACAGCTGATCAGGAAAAACTCCCCAAAAAAACCCCTTTAACGGGGAAAAAACGGTAGAAACCTCAGGAAGAGCAACTGAGGAGGGATCCCTCTTCCAGGATGGACAGACGTGCAATAGATGTCGTACAGAACAGATCAGCATAATAAATTAACAGTAATCTGTATGACACAATGAGAGAGAAAGAGAGAGAGAGAGAGAGAGAGAGAGAGATGCAGGTAATAACAGTAGCTTACAACAACATTATTGAAAGTAATAATATTATAGTTATAGTTCTGGCTACTGTGGTACAATATGTTGAAAGTATGTATTAATATCTGACAGTATACTTGTGTGACAATAGTCATATGTGTATAATAACAGTAGAAGTATGACTAATGACTAATGATGGCAGCAGCAGCAGGAGGCATCTGGCAGGACCACGGCAGCAGCACAACCACACACGTCACACTGTCCAGGCACCGCTGTGATATGAGTTAATCTGAGAGACAGTGGAGCACAAAGGCTCCGGAGAAGAAGCCGAGTTAGTGACATCCAGAATGGCTGAGTTAGCAAGATGCAGTAATAGAATACGAGAGAGAGAGAGAGAGAAGGAGAGAAGGTGCCCGGTGTATTATAGGGGGGGTCCTCCGGCAGACTAGGCCTAAGTCAGCCTAACTAGGGGCTGGTACAGGGCAAGCCTGAGCCAGCCCTAACTATAAGCTTTATCAAAGAGGAAAGTCTTAAGTCTAGTCTTAAATGTGGAGACGGTGTCTGCCTCCCGGACCGTAACAGGAAGATGATTCCACAGGAGAGGAGCCTGATAGCTGAAGGCTCTGGCTCCTGATCTACTTTTGGAGACTTTAGGGACCACGAGTAACCCTGCGTTCTCAGAGCGCAGTGTTCTGGTGGGATAATATGGCACTATGAGCTCTCTAAGATATGACGGAGCTTGACCATTTAGAGCTTTATAAGTTAACAGTAGGATTTTAAATTCAATTCTGGATTTTACAGGGAGCCAGTGCAGAGAAGCTAAAACAGGAGAAATATGATCTCGTTTCTTAGTTCCTGTTAGTACACGTGCTGCTGCATTCTGAATTAGCTGGAGAGTTTTTAAGGACTTACTAGAGCTACCTGATAATAGAGAGTTACAGTAATCCAGCCTAGAGGTAACAAAAGCGTGGACCAATTTTTCTGCATCTTTTCGGGTCAGGATAGGCCTAATTTTCGCAATATTACGCAGATGAAAAAATGCAGTCCGTGAGGTTTGTTTTAAATGAGAATTAAAAGACAAATCTTGATCAAATATTACTCCGAGGTTTCTTACGGTAGTGCTAGAGGCCAGAGCAATGCCATCTAGAGAAACTATGTCATCAGATAAAGAGTCTCTGAGAACAATAACTTCAGTTTTGTCTGAATTTAACATCAGGAAATTGGTGCTCATCCAAGTTTTTATGTCTTTAAGGCAGTTATGGAGTTTAGTTAATTGATTACTTTCTTCTGGCTTCATCGATAAATACAACTGAGTATCATCCGCATAACAATGGAAATTTAGTGATTTCTAATGATGTTACCTAAAGGAAGCATATATAGAGTAAATAGGATTGGTCCGAGCACAGAACCTTGCGGAACTCCAAAACAAACTTTGGTATGTAAGGATGATTCATTATGAACGTCAACAAACTGAAAACAGGAGTGATGAAAGCCATAAGACTGAACAGCAAATGAGTGGGCTAGAGAAGCAAAAAAATGAGGTGGAAAAAAACACCCCGTGGAGCTGAGGGGGACTGCAGAGTTATAAAAATACTGTCCCTCTTCACATTAATCATTTGATCCATTGTTAATATTGTTAAATTTTTAATTAGTACAGAATTAACAAAACAGATTCATTTATAATAAAAAACGAGAAATGCAAAAACAGGATATTCAATCAAATTTACTTTCAATAATATATCCCAGAAAAGTTTTGTGAATCTGACATATTGTACCTGAGATCATCTTATTGCACTGGCAGACTTTCAGTATACATTTGTTACACCAGCAAATACTTGTATTCTAATGTGTACTTGCAAAAGCTGTATATGAAATGTGGGGAACAGATGCACAGAGAGGATTTCTGCTTTGGATGTCAGTGTTAACAGTTACCCCTAACACTATCCTACAGATCATGCTCAGGACATGAAACTAAAATACTTGATGTCTCACTACATCTTCATATTGCCCAACCCCATGTATAGAATATTAACATTAATTGTTCATAACATGGGTGGCTATCACTTTTATGTCTGCTGGTGTTTTGGGCTGTTGCACACAATGTTGCAACCAATGTGCAGGACTGCTTTGTGCCACTAGTGGATTTTCATTTGATTTTGCCATCAATTTGATGAAGTGCATCGATTTTTCAGGTATTTGCTGAATCACATATTCCCATCTGGTTATTCTATCAATTGATTTTCCAGAAAAAAAAAAAAATACTGTATTACAATATACAGTAAATTGATATCATTATATAAAATGACATCCACCATGATAGAGGATTTTATGTTATTTATATCATCCATTCCAATATATACATATATGGACTACTGGATATCAGTGGTTTTGCAAAGGTCACATTTTAAGTGATGCCTCTCTGTGTGATTGTCTCATTACTCTAAGAAAAAATAGCATTCAATGTGCAGTAGGTGCTTATTTGTTTACATGCATTTCTGGATGGAAAATGCAGTGCCATATGCTCTTTCCAACCAAACTAGCTAAGGAAAGTGAGGGAAAATCCGCCAAAAAAAAAAAAGGCGATAGACAGAGCTATGTACACAGCTCTGCAGCAGACAAGTATGCCTTTATATATTTTTTTACTGCACACTGGATGTCACAGATGCCCTGCAAAAGGGTAGGGGAACAGTAGCAGCCCTTGAAACAGCAAGTACTTTTGGGGAAAACACAATGTGGAACAAATTACGTTTTCTTTAACATAATGAGAAAATGTTGCTAATTAACATATCTGCAAGTTGCAAAAATGTTGATACATATAATAAAATGTTTCCTGAAAACGTATAACAGCTACCAGTAAAATGTTCACTAATGACATATTTCAGCTTGTTTCTGCCAAAATAGGCACTCTTGCAATACTTCCAAATTTAATTAGGCCTATCTATTTTATATTATTTTTTGTTTTTTATTTTTAAATCATGATCTTTCCCTAACCTTGACCAAAGTGCTTTTGTTGCATAAACCTAAGACAGGAGTCTGGACACTGACTCGAAGTTCTGGTGTCAAGGTCCTGCGCTTGTGCGATCGCCATCCTCCCCAACCACCTCCTTTCAAAGCCTATGCAGTGCATAAATGTATTGTTTTGTTACATGAAACAGACATTAAGAAAGCAGTTTCATAACATATAAATGTAATTTCTAGGAGACAGGAGCCCCTATTACACTGTCTGTTCAATGTAGCAATATCACAACAGAGGTACTAACTGCCCCAAAACAATGTCTGTGTAAAAGGGACAGCTGGCAGGACAGGACCATAGGCTGCACGAGTGTGATGTTTTGATTACGTGTCATGCGTGCAACATGGCGCAGAGATTTAAAAAGTAGCTGGTAGTCAGCTGGCAGTCAGCTGTTAACACAAAAAGACTAACAGTGGCTGAAAATGTCCGCACTTTGGGAAAACAATGAGGTCCGGAAGCTTGTTACCCTCTGAGCAGAGGACAAGATCAGCAGGCATATAACAGAGACAGTCAATGATGGTTAATGCCATAGTTTTTGTTTAGAAAGCACTGCCGACATTATATGTCACACTAGAGGCCGACACTGCTGTATTACATGTCACGCAACATCATGCCTCTACTGTATTTCTTCCATGCTGGCATGCTGTCAAAAATCACACACTGGAGCAGCATGATGCCACTATTGTTTGGTTTTGTTTAAAAAGGCAAAGGCCTCATGAAGAAGGGACCTTGTAGCAGCTCTACAGCATGATCTCTGTGTAAAAACAGGGACGTGCAAATGCTTAGTGCAAATGTTACAGTGGTAATATCTGTTTTTTAATCTGTTACTTATTCAATCTTTCTTTTAAATTTGGTCCAGACTAATTTGGAACAATGTTCAATCACTGCTTGAACAGAGATGGACATTATCTGTAGTGGAACATCATTGCATCATGCTGGAAAAGGACCCAAAATTAGCACGTTCATCAGGGTGTCACTTTGCATCACTGCCATTCGGAGCCAATCAGAGGTGCAGACAAAATATGTCAAATCCTCATCGTACCTATGCCATAGGCTCTGTGCCAACGCAGAGCCTACACAGTAACCAATGCCGTAGCCTGACGTGCACCTCCCCAGAAATGTAACTCCACGTCTATTTTTTATGCTGAAAACTGTTTCCCTCAGTGAAAACAAAGCTTTCTTTTATTTTTATTTCACAAAGAAGAAACAATAAATTATGAAGACAGTAAAGCCCCCACAAAACAGCATTTTAGGTCTTGTGTGTGATATATCCTGGCTTCATTTGAGTAGAGGAAATCT